AGATTTAAAGATTCTATCTAACTCATGCTGTCAAACAGCTTACTAGCAGATACCACTAGTGCAAGTTTGATAAACAATGATATGTGTTGCAAGGGAGCCCATCTGTGATGTATTTTTGTAAGGGTTTAACCCACAGAAGTTGAGGTAGTAAACAAGATCCTATGATATTGTAAAAACCACCTTCCTCTCAAGGATACATATGCTTCTGTCCATTACCCTCGCCCATTTACGATGTTCTGTATTATTCCTATTGATCTTTTTGTTCATTCTCACAAGGGGGAACTCAATTTGGAGCCATACCGGGAATGGCTAATTCCCATCTCTCGGTCACCGAGTTCTTGGTGTGGGGTTACTTTATTTTCTAGAAGAGGAGGGGAACATGTGTTCATGGAACGTCACTCGGGGCCAATAGTGTACTGTGCTCAGGTATAGATTTATAGATGGAGTGGGAGGGTTGGCGGGTTTAGATGGTATGTTATATTGGCTAGGAATGTGTGCGTGTGTATATCTAGCCGCGACATAGCTAATATAAGTTAGTATCCTACTCCAAGAAGTTGGACACGCACTTGGGCTACCACAACTAGAAAATTCTCTGTCAGGTGAGCGCGGGATCAGACATGGTATTTTCGGATATATTTTCTAGAAATTATTTCAACACTTGTAAAGGGGAATCCGTTCCGATAACATGGCCGTCTGCCTTTCCTACCCCATGATGACTGGGAACCCATCCGAGGCGTGGGCGGAGGAGTAGCATCTGCGTAATAACTGATGTCAAAAGTCTTATTTCCGAGTTGGAGGAATGCCTGATTGTTTACCCATCCTTATTCAAGTGCTCCCATCTCCTGTTGGCCTCCCAACAGGTTAGGGAGGGCGCCCGGGTCGGTACGAAGGAATTCCAGAATCGTTACTGAAACAGGAACACTCCGGGGGGGGGACAGATCAGATAGGGCCACCGTGTAATAGCAGGTAGGAATCCCTGGACTGAGGGTCTTGGCCCTGCTTTCGAAAGTCTGGCAGGTAGCAACAACGAAGAAGGACCCTGGTTTGTGTTGCGCTGCGAGCATTTCTCGATCAGCATCACGCACACACTCGGCAAACTTGTATGCCGGTAGAACGTGCGTGCCGTGTCTCGGTCTCCAATCATTTCCAATAAATCCCTGAGGGTTTGCTGAAGAAAGTAAGGGGTTAAGTAAACAACAAATCTCATGTTGCAAAAACGCAATTAAAGAAGTTTGGGAAAATATAGGAGGGGCTCTTACGATTTCCAGAACGATCTGTGATACTCTCGAGATCCTTGGCCGGCGAGTCGTCCTTGTAGGTATATCTTGGGGTGAAGTCACACTGATGCTTAAGCCTTTTACAGTGCTATCCAAGGTCAGAGATTGGTTTCCTAGTTCGTTAACGAGTAAAAGGGTAAATTGGAGGAATTACCCCGCATACAGGATGAACTTCATCGCATTTAACTTTCCGGATCTATATAATAGGGGTTAGTTGGGTCTATTTTAATCCTCTAGAAAGGGCTTTTGCCATACCCGGCATGTCCTATACAACAAAACACAGTTTGTCAGAATCCCAAACAGAAAGGATTAGGAAGGAACGTACCAACACCCTTTCCTCGACCTAGCAGGGACTATAAATTGTCTGGGTGCGAAGACCATCCCATGCTGGCCCGCTAAAACGACGTGTCCTGGTCCAAGATGCGGCTGAGCCCCAGGAGGAAGTGTTTGATTGATCCGAGGTTCAGGGGAAATTGTGAGCTCTGGAGTGGCATTGGGAGTTGAAGAGAGGGGTTTGGTGGGGGGTATGGGTGTTCCTGAAGAAGCTGTAAATGCCCGGCCACTGTGATATGGCCCAGAAGTAATAAATTGCGAGGATGGTAAGTCGGTGGAATGGAGGACCGGAGGGGGGGTTTGGGGAAAATCCTTCTTTCCCTTTGTAGATGGTATACTTTGCTGCGGATTATATTCTTCAAGACCAGGGCCATAAATTCCCGATCCATGGATCATTTCTGCAGGAAAGTCCGGAAAATACTCGCCCCCCGCTACCTGGGGAATTTCAGGCAGCTGGTGAAAGTCATTTGAGTTCAATGGACCGCCAAGTTGTGGCCAAATATTACCATACTCTGACAGGTCCAGGCTTGGGTTTGGGTTATTGAACTCCTCTTCGGGGATCTCGGGCCACCAGGAATTATGGTCAAAACTCAAGATATCATCCAGAGGTTGGGAAGGCACAACACCTGTATTCGGCGTTGCATTTGTATATGCAGTACTCCTGGGGTATGAACTAGATGCAGAGTTCGGGACATGGTATCTGTGACGAGTAGGGGGTAGCGGAGGTCCCCCCCGCACCTCAACATTGCTGCTTGATGCATAGGAGCTCAGAGCTTGACCGGAATCAGGAAACCTTTGCTTCGGAAGCTGTCTATAATAAAACTGGAAGCTTAGTAAACGCAGCAAACAACATGTAAGATGTGGCGAGGACGGGGGGCGGGGAACATTGTCAGCGGTTGTAGTAAAGCCACAGTGGGGAAACCTCATGATGACGGAGGGAGAGAATACCGAGAGCTCGTTGGATTATTCATGATTAAGCGATCTGGTGAGAGGATCTTACTCCACTCGTCCTCAGGAACGCAGCTGAGGCAGCGCCACGACAGATGCCCCATAGACAAAAATGAGTTCGAAACGAGGTAAAAAGGACCCTCTCTGAAGGTCGGGCCAAATTTTGTTCAAGTCTACTCGAGTAGGGTTGTTTGTAACAGAGCGAAATAGGGAAATGGGGGAGAGGGACGGTGGGTTATGTATCATTAGCGAGCGGAGGTAGTGAGTAGTACGTTTACTTATGGATTGTAGGTATCATACGTATGGGTTACCACTACATGGAAATGCTGTCGATGTAATCATTACTTTTCGAAAAGGGCCCCCTCCCCCCCCCATATACCCGAGTATTTATTTATATTATAGTTCAAAACTCTAGGGAAATTTGAATTAAATGCCTGATGGGGGCGAAGAAGTCCCAATCTGGACAAACTGGACAACCTATGATGGATTACCTTACTCGAGTATAGGTTGGGCTCTAGATGGGCTCTAGATGCCCAACCTATTTATAGCACCGAGAGACGTGACTGTCCCCAGATCAGGGGAGCCCATCCCCCCCCCTCTGGAAAAAAAGAAGGAAAAAAAAGGAACCACCACAGCACTGACACACTCAATCGTGAAGGGAAATCTTCAATCTACAGTTCATAGATGCCCTAGCCCTGAACATGGTGGATGCTAAGGTTACCGGAGATCGGGGTACTCTCTATCCCCCGCACTTGTTTCTCCGATTGCCCGAGGTAAGGGAAGGAGGATGAGTTTTGTCAGACTCCCCCTGAGGGCCGGGCCGCGGAAGGGTCGATCTTGCCACGTAAACAAACAAAAAAGTAAGCAGGGTCCATCAACAATAGCCAAGCCTCCTGTTGAGGACTAGATCACAAGGTCTCACTCGAAACCGGGGGCTGGCACTCGACTCAGGAAGGGGCGATAGGCAGGTCACGCCAAATCGATGTGTTTTCAAGACCACCAGTATGATAACTTGTATGCTTTTCCCATGGGAAAACGGCCACCCTGAGCAGGCACCCCAAAATTTATGACATGACGCACCCCGCGACACTTCTCCAATACCTTTTCGCCCGGATCGGCCACCCTGTGGCCCCTGGCTCTGGACGGCTCACTATCAACGGCTCGAAATCGGTCAGTATCAGCATATTCCCTTTCCTACGCACTCTCTCCGATAACCCCCTGCCGCTTATCTGCTACCGTGTCCAAGTTCCACAGACATCTCGCCCCCTCGAAGCAAGAAAGTGCCCCCAAGTTCTCTACGCCGTGGACAAATACCACCCTCGTAAGATGGCCACACTACACACCAGCCCCCAAAGCCCGCCCCTTTCAGGGTCCCACCAGCGCAACAAGGAATTCTGGACCGAATACCCTTGATAGAAGAGCAACGAAAAAGTGTAGATCTCCCGCACTCGCTTGCCGCACGTGCGTGGTGCCGTGCATCGTAAGGAGCCTCAGGGTGCCGACATATATCATATCGTGATCGCGTGCGATGAGACTTTCGTGGGATGAAAGCTAGGATCGTGCATCAGGAGTTCCTCGGGCTTGCTGGGGATTCATGTAAGGCCAATCGATACCAACCCCGATTTTAGAATTCTTGCAATGCGATGCATTGCTGGTGGTGACTTGAAGGTGGTGTGTGTTAGAATATACCCCGAGCTGTTTGTGTCTGCTAGACCTCGTTTATTCCATACTGGAATCAGTATGTCCGTCCGCTGGGTCCCGCTGACATTTTTTTTCTACCACCCTCTTTTACTGTGAGCGAGTGTACGTAGTGCATCGTGGGCGCTAGTATGCAATGGAAATGAAACACATCATAATTTTATCAGACAAGAATACGATACCATAGATTTTTCTGGGCAAGATGCCGCGTGGGTTTTCATTGTGGACGATCCTGGAGTAGGGTATGAGTATGAGAAGTTGAAAGAGGGGTGAGGGGATTACGATGCAATGATGCTCGCTTTCATGGTAGGGCGGTAATTTTGCTATCATTTTAGAGGGAGGGGGACTGTGAGTTTTTGAATGACTATGAGCAGATTTCCCTCCCAACTTTTTTTTCTTTCTTTTTTTCACGCGCGGCGGAGAGTGTTTACGGTGTGACAGGGAAATATTTTTGGCATCTCTTGATAGCCTTCAGAGCTCTGTGTTTGGGGTGGTGGGGCTGGGTGTGCGGCTCCGTGGTCTTATCGAGGATGCTGTGGCAAGTTTATCATTCCACTGAGTGAAGTCTACCAGCTGCGGCGAAGAGATAGATATTGTGGGAGCCAAACGAACAACAGAGGAAAGACCTACATGATGCAGTTTTATTTAAGCAGAGGGTAATTTATAGAGTTTACTACTACGATATCAGTTGTACTAGCGCGAACTCTATAAATATAAAGAGTAGAGGATAACAGATGGCAAGAATTCCAGTAGTAATGGAAATATATATTAACCCTTCAAGCTAAAAGTTCATATATCATATGGTTACCATATCAGTCACCCCTCCCGCACAAACCGCTCAAAGTCAGTTCCCAACGCTTGGCGAACCATTGGTGAGTGTTCATCAGCCAACGCTAGTTGGAGGTCCACGCGCACATCATCCCATAAGCTTCCGTGCCCCTGCAGCTTGAGCATCTGCATGGTGGCTTCCGCAGCCTTGATACGAACGTTCTCATTGCTTCGATCAGTGAGACACTGGTTGACCTGGAACCAGGCTTTGCCGAGAACATCATTCCAGTCCTGCTCTCCCAGTGTTGTAGTGGACAGACGACGGAGAACAGTTGCTATACCCCCAATCCCGCGTATTTTGAGATCGTAGTTGGCGCCCGCGAGCTTGGCCTGTACAAATTCAAAGGTCTTTAAGGCATCGGCGCGGGCTTTTGCTCCTGCGGTGGATGGTTAATAAGCAGTTAAATAGGGCGAGAATGGGGGGAAACCTTTAGAATTGGAGTCTGGTCTGAAAGCCTGGCAAAGCGTAACCAGACCATTTGCTAAAGTTCTTTCCTCTCTGCGCCGATGGGTGTCAGTCGGTCACCTAGATGAGCGCACGAGCAGATAAACCTACATAGTTTTCAGAGAGCGCCCGTCGGCGGCGACGTCAACATCCATTTTATCTTCAGACTCGTCTTTAACCGAGTCCACAACAATATCGTATACCTCCTCAAAAAGATTCAAAGCCGCAAACCCGTTGGCAAAGTCACCCAGACTCTTTATTGCAATGCTTCTATAAGCAGCATTTTTACGCCTTGCTTCCCTCAACACAATCTACTCACATGTAGTTGGTTAGTGGAGCAATGGGAGGGAACATCGGTCTCGCGCATACCGTTGATAGTTCTTGCAATTTGGCTTGGTCATTCTCAAAATATTGAACAGCATTCGCGGCGAGAGAAACAAGAGCATCAAGAACAGCTTCTTTTCCATCCCAACTCTTTCCCGATGTTGCCGATACCAACACAGGCCACAACAAGTCAACTTGATCGGTTGTAACATCCTTACCGATTGATTTGCATGTATCGGCCAAGCTTAATGCTGCTGTTTGTTTGAGCGCCCATCGCGGAGAGGAAAGGTGAGTCTGTGCTAGTGAAATGATCTCCCCAAAATAAAGTTTGATCGCGCCTGTCCCACCAGTATTTTCTGTCCAGGCCTTCGTGAAGACTTCAGCGATGGATGTGTGTGGGTCATGCTTCCCGACGAAAATGAAGGGCAATATGTCCACGGCCAGAGAATTAAAACGATCCGTGGCGCTAATATGGTTAGAAATAAGAATAATGAGGGGCGATTGGATACGTACTTTTTGCACAAGGAGTAAACCATTTCACTAGCTAGTGCCCTGGGCTTTTCGTCTTCACCCTCAAAATATAGCTTTCTAGAATATCCTACAAAGCTCAATATTTTTTCGTCACTAGCTAATCGGCAGAGATAGCCAGCAGCACTAGCATAGCTTGCCATCACTGTCTCATTGCGATCGTGCATCGAAGTCTGCATAGTTTTGAGGAGCTCATCTGCGAAAGGTTTGGCGATGGACCCATGCCGGACCACTAGAGTCACGATAATGCGGCTGCATCCTACCTGATAATTATCTGTTAGTAAGCGACGTAGCACGGCTATGACATGAAGGCAATGTACTTTAGATGGTAAGCCCAATGCTTTCCTTATGGTTTTCTCGAACCTGGGCACAAAGACCTTCATAGTGTCTCTGTCCAATAGATCCAAGGATCGCTCAATGGCATCCATCATTGGCGATGCCCGAACTTGGGCTAGCCTAATACGGTCAATCTACATCGTGTATTAGCTAAGCTCCCCATCGCAGAGAGTAAGAGCGCACATCGTCACCAGTGGTATTGTACTTATCTGCGTTCAAATGCAAGTAATTGACCACCTCCGGCTCAAGGGAACTCAAGAGCTGCACGAATTTGTCCACAAGGTCTGGAATGTACGGAAGGAGTACCGGCCCTCCTGCTTTTACGAGCTGAAGGAGAGTTCCTAGTTTTGGTAAATAATATCGTTAGTTCATTCTTTGCAGAGGCTCAATCAATTTATTAGGAATACGCCACCAAGGCTGCCATCATGGTAGGTCGCTCGACCCTTCGAGAAGGGAAAGTATCCAAAAGGCAGATTCAATGCTTACGTAATGCAAATAACTGCACCTCCTTGGCCTCCGCTTCCAGCCCCCTTCCGCCCATCAAGAATGGCATAACGCCCTCTAAAATAGCCTCTGCCTCTTTCCGGCTACCCCCTGAGGCCATATCGACGTTGTGAACCATCGCTTGTGTCAGCCCCCTGCAGAGTTTCATCGCAGCGATCCGAACACTCTCCTTAACATCATCAAGGACCCGGAATGATGTACTCCAGATTTTCTCCAAGTATGGTTTATATTCGTCAATTTTCTTTCCTTGCACAAGCTCTCCAAGAGCATTGCAGCTCGCCTCTCTGGTCCTCCACTCTCGCCCTACAGCGTATTTAAGCAGGTCTTCAATTATATTGTCGAACTGTGCTTCCAGGACATTTCTCTCATCACTCCCGACCAGAGCCTTCCAGATGTCTTCCATACTGCGAGCGACATTGGGGTTAGGGTCGAAGCGGTACCGATAAAGTTTTGGGTATAATTTAGGGTTGTGCTTCAAGACGTCAGAAGAGGAAAGAATGCTCCCCAGTCCGAAACGGCCGAAGGCTGCCCGTGAAGACCATAGAGAATTATGGCGAGCAAGTGACATAAATTTGTAAACCAAGCTCGGATCACCCACTTCTGAAGCAAGGGACATAATCTACATCGAATGTGTTAGTCAAGACTACAGGCTTGCATAAAAGAACCTAATGTGTGAGAAATGAACTAACATCTTTGTAGGTGGAGATACTTCCATCCCCAGTTGGCAAGGCTCCGGGTTCGAACAGCTCCGTTTCTGCCGATACATTTCCGGCCAAGGTGCGAGTTTTCTCACCTGTGAAGGATGAAACGAGGTTCCGGACAAGATCATCTTTAGTTTCCTTTTCGCCCTTTTCGTAAACCATTGTCAATCCTCTCGCCGCGGTCTCCTGGACAAGCTCTATTTCAGCCGCCAAAACCACTCGTTAGTGATATCTAGGATGCTTAGAAAAATGAAACAAGCATACCGTCTCTGTCTACCAAATATCCCCTAAATCCTTTTTGCATTTCCCCAAGTTTGGACTTCACCTGTTGCTCCTCTCCACAGAATTCCAACAAGCACAGCATCCAGACACATACAGCCTTCCTCAAACTAGGCTTTGTGTCAGACACCTTGCCCAGTACTGCTTCCAGAACTTCTCCTAGCCTCCACTTAGCCAATTCCTCAGCAGGCTTTGCATTTTCATATCCTGCAATGTCAACCTTTCCACGAACAGATTTACTCTGCCACCCCCCGGCAAGGCAAGCAATGGCTTCACCGGTAGCAAAATTAATCTCAACCTGTCTGTTCTCGTGGAACGCGAAAAGAGCTTGCAGAAGCTTGTCAATAATAGGTTTATCGGATGAAGGAAACACGATCGCTAAGTGACCAATCGCAAGAACCGCTTTTTCTTTCCCCTTTTTGCCGAGCTCAGTCAGGCGATCCAGGATTCCTGCGTAGGTCTTTCGAAAGTAGTCCCCGTGAACAACTGCAAAGATGGAGATTTCCGAGAAGGATTGGACGGCGGCATCAAGAATAGTTTGATCTCTTGCTTCTAGAAGTGCATTGACAAGAACACCTACAGCCTTGTGTACTAGCTCCTTCGGCAAGGAGCCGAGACGCCCACGAAGCTTTAGTCTCGACAGGAGAAATCCCAATGTTAGTATTCCGCCATGAACCTTCCCACTTTCTACTCCGAAGGTCTTGTCCAAGCCGTGGGCATAAGTGACCATCTCCTCCGTCATAGACAGTAATATATTCTCTCCTAGGGCCTCGTGACTCCCAACAATACCCAGGGCTCTGGAAGCCACCACCCTGTCTTCGCTCTTTGTTCCTGTTAGGACAGCCGTTTTTAATGATTCAAGCTTTCGCACCGAGTTTTCCCATGACTTTTCGGGAACAACACCCACGAGATCCACCCAGACGTCTCTAATACCATCCAAGCCCGAACCATCCCAAACCATACCAAGCCACGCCACTTCCATGAACCTATTGAGTATACAACTATTTTCCTCTCCTAATTTACTAAAGTAAATCTGGACCTTGTGTCTTATACCCTCGTCGCGCTCAACAGCTGCATCCAACTTTCTCTCCCAGTCTTCGTCCACGACTACCTCTTCATTGCCGAGCGCTTCCATAAGTCCTACTCTCCGACAAAAAGAGACAGCTGTTGCGAAGACCTCCGGGGGCATCAAACCTGCGACAATGCTCTCTTGGGCAGTCCAGGTAGTAGCGCTCTGTGCCGAGTGAGGGAATAAGTAATTAATAAGATCCGAGAAACTTGGAAAGGTATATTTATTCGGCTTCTTAGCCTCGGGAGTATCGATTTCCATGGAATTTTCATCCGTCGCTACAGGATAACTTTCCTCTGGATTGATAAGACGATAGTAATAGGGATGTAGACCTAACGAAGCACGGTTAGCATTCTCGGTGGATGGGAATTTCTAAGCGGGGGATAAGACGTGAAATTATCTCTCATTCCCCTTATATATATACCTTTCTTAGCCTCCTCCACAACCTCGTCTCTCTCCCCCTTCCTTCCGAGAGCCAGTAAATTCACCCACCGCCCTTCAACATTCCCGAACTCCAAGATGCGATTAGCGTATCTGACCGCCGAAAATCTTGTACTTCTTCCTTTACCCGCAATCATTTGTTCTATTATCAGTTCCTCTAAGCTCTCCTCCGTTTCTCTATCAAGTGGTTGCTTCGCTATAGTGGGTAATAATGTGGCTAGCGCCCCCTCAACACTAACAGCCACACTTCCCGCGGGCTCATCTCTCAACCTCCCAAACAAAAATTTTAAAATCCTCCAATCCTTCTCTACCACAATTCCAGGGGCCCTCTTTACCAATAACCCGAGGCTTTCATATGCATAACCCCTCAGGTCGTCTCCGCCAGCCCCTCCTCCGTCTTCTGGGCTAGTAGACAGTAGCCAGTACCTAATCTTCTCCACAACATCAACCGCAACGGCTGCCATAACCTTTCCCCCACCCATCCTCGATGCCCAGTTTACAAAGGTGAAGGCAGCTTGTCTAAGCCGAGAGTAGTCTGTTTCGAGGCCACTTTCCACAATCTTAACAATTTGATTCCCCCATTGCTCTCCAATGGCTTCCGTCGATTTCGCCAATAGCCCGACAATGCGGGCTTGGAGTACAACCTTTACCGGTGGTATGGCATTTCCCGGATTACCAAAGTAAAGTTGGTATAGTTCCTGGACTACCCCCCCGTCATCCAAGGACACCGACGGCAGTGAACGCTTGAAGACATCTTCTGCAGGCTCCGCAACTGCCGAATTCGTATCAGAAGCTCCGACGAGACTAGGGAAAAACCTCTCCTGATCCGTAAATGCACCCGAAGCGAGAAACCTAAGCACAGCCTTTTTTATATCCGTCAAGACTGCAAACGGGCTGAAGGTCTCTTTCTTTCCACCTAGGGTCAGGAAGTCAAACTCTCCCGCCGAAATCCCTGGGCAATTCAACTGCCCCGATGTGTTGCTACTCGCAAAAACTGATAGATTGAGTAGCATTAATCGCTTGAACCACCCCGCCACCCAAACAGCATCTTCGCCGCCACTGCCCTCGTGGAACCCCATTTTAGTTCTCAGAGCAAGATCATCTTGGGTTCCCCTATTCGGGGGCTCAAAATGGACCAGTACTTTTAACAAGATATCGAATAGCGAGCGTTGATGAATAACGTTATCGTGTTTTGATATATCTTTTAGCAAGGGTGGGAGTAGTTCTAACCGCTCCGAGACAGGTAATCGCTCGATACCAGTCTGGACATACATCAAATCGAAGTTACGCACAAGCGAGTAACGCCCGCCGATCTCGGGGTCTTTAAATTGCTTGAGAAGAGCGGCGACGGGCAATATTATTGTAACCGGCCTAATCCGGGTATTGACATGCTGACATATCGATATCACCTTTGAAGTTATCATCAGCATCATCTCATGCAACCAGCCCTGAGGGAAGCGAATCCAACCTTATTCCGAACTGAGGCGTGCGGGCTCGCAAGCTTCAATATCAAAGGTGGCAAATAAAGATTCAGTAGACGTTGAAGCTTTTCATCGGTATCAGCTAGCGCAATCTTGAGCTCGACGTTGTTAACCAGTCTCAGTTCTTTATCTCCGTCCACATCTAAGGAAGTCATTTGCGAAGCAGCGTCAAAGGGATAAATATGAAAGAGGAGAGAAGGGTGAAAGGGGGATGGGAGAGATGGGAGAGATGAAATAGCCAAAAAATAGGCCTTTTCCTACCGAGCAGAAGAGAATCTCACAGAAAGCTGAGGTTCCGGGACTCACTCGGGCATGCATAACTCCGGGAAGGAGCCGACGTGATTATGTAAGCGCCTGGGCTAATCAAGTGAGGAATTAAAGGGATTACTAATTTCAACACATCCAATTACAGTACTTGGGCAGGTTATCCTGGTAATACATGAGCCCGCTGTGGTCCCGGAGTGATAGAGAGCTCAGACGGGTATTAGTATTAGTACTCTCCCATGGATTTTGGCCCCTTACGTGATAATAATAATATTATGGTAACGCGTTGTCCATCCACCCGCAAGGCACGTGATTATTTGGTTGGAGGCTGAAACTTACAGAAGCCCCACCTTACCTGCTGCCTACCGGTACGATATGTAAGCCGTTTAAGAGCAAACTACCGCTACCATACTCGTAGGTCTTTCTCCACACCAAACAAAAATAAAAACATCTTATAGAAGAGAAATATAGTTTGTGAAATCTCAATATCAGAGATGTTCCGCTGGAGAGGCCGGGTTGTGGTGGGCTCCAAATTTATTTATTTTGTCTTAGATACAGTGAAACAAAGTGAAGGGCCTAAGTTCCGTCAGATCTCACAGGAAATTACCCGAATTATCTGATTGAGATAAGTTAGAGTACTTTTATGCTCCTGGAACTGCTAATATTTCTACAGTACCCCCCCCCATAAACTGGCAGGCGCTAAGATCATACCGGGATTACTTTCCTGCTAGAGGGTTTATATAGCATTTAGAATTTGCGGTTCCCATTATAAATCAGAGGGGGGAGAAAGAAAACTTCTCTTTTTAATTATTTTTTCCTTTTCTTCTCTCTGCTACCCAAGTGACAGATAGTTTGACACGAACTCATGATGAGTTGAATAGAATCCCTTGGCCCCCGCTAATTGAACAGGGGTTGACTGGTTATTGGGATATTAGCAACTGTCCCAGCTAGGTTTTTGCCACGTAATAATACTGTGGGAACAAATACTTATTCTACTAGCAGCCGGCCGGAGGTTGATGGATTCTTCTCCCTGAGGTCGAAAATAATCATGCTACAGTATTAGGCATGATATGGGAGCAGGTCCATCCCAGCAGCGGAGAATTATAAACATTGATCACGGACCCTTTGTGCGCAAAGGAATAATCGCAATGGGAACACTGATAGATGTTGATCAATCGGGCGCACACGGAAGAATGCTGTTGGTCTTGATGAAGTGTTATTCGTTGTCTATTCGACTATGGAGAGAAATTTTCTGCTAGTTATACATAAACCCGACAGATGCCGCAAGGCATTGTCTACACACAAATCAGGGCCATGCCCACTTCAATACCACCTCAAATCAATCCCTAAGGTTACCAGACCTAACTTCTTTCTCGTACACCACAACACTACAATGGGATTACTTCATCAAACACCCGGGATGGAAAAAGGTGGGCTAGGTATAGTGTATGGATGAAAGCCGCTAGGGGCCTTACAATAGAATTGAGAAGCGTAAAAAAGAAGAGTCTGGTTGTAAACAACAGATATTATATCATAGCCTGCAGCACCGGAAACCACGGGCAGCAGGTGAAATGCAGGTATGGGAACTATATTTTCCACCCAGAGGTTTAATGCAAGCTAATCATTTTCTTCGCTCCACTCTTAAGATCCTGCGGGCAAAGTCCGTGGTATGAGCTAGTGCACATCGGGAGCTTTCTCGATGCTACCGAAACCTCCAAAGCAATCAGGATGATGTTGATCCCAACACAGTTGACACCGAATATGGCCGAACGCCACCCTCGTGGGCTGCCGGAAACGGGCACGAGGGGGTCGTGAGGATAACCGCTGGAACGGAACGATGTCAACCCCAACAAAATGGATACGTGGGACTGGTCACCGCTCTGGTTGGCTGCCAGATATGGGCGTGAGGGGGCCGTGAGGATACTGCTGGAACGGAACGACATCAACCCCGACAAAGTGGATACGTGGGGCCGATCACCGATCACATGGGCGGCCGAATATGGGCACGAGGGAGTCATGAAGATACTACTGGAACGGAGCGACATCAACCCCAACAAAATGGATAAGCAGGGACGAACACCACTTTCGTTGGCCACCGGTAATGGGCATGAGGAGGTTGTGAGGATACTGCGTGAACGGGCGTATTTGGTTACCAGATAGGCACATACGCAGGGCCCTACACTTAACCTATGATAGCTCTTCTCTGCTGAGCCGTCTGTGCCATCCGAACCTTTTCCCAAGGGGCCCGCGGTCTCGATACCCTAGAATAAAACCCGATACTTCTTCCCTCTCCTCAATGTACCATACCCTTCCAGCAGGGGAGCAAACTTAGCGGAACAAAATCCTAAGCATTCCACAAACAATCTTTTATATGCTTGCTGGCGATATCTCACTACTTTATATTTATTTGGATTATTGCATAACTTAGACTACAACTGTGCCATCTTATATCAGTGTGGATGGAAGTTTTATACATATGGACAACAATTATCAGATATCGACACAAGCTGTATAAGTACACGCGAGAGCGGGCGAACCGCAGGAACCAATGGAGAAGAGTTACGGTGCGCGATTCAAAAAGCTTGGCCTATCTCACCTCTTTTCTACTATCCTCCGCCACTCACCCTTTTACTGCGTCCCGGGGCAAACCTTTTTTCGTACCAATACCATGACACAGCAAATTCCCCCCCCCCCACCACCACATTAACTGGTGAGAACCGGCAGGCGCTATGACAGTGCCCCCAAATAACATTTTATTCTCATTTCGTCTCGAAATAGCAATAGAACGCTGTATCCGGACTCCGCACTGCCTGACCAACCCCTCCAGGCCTCCCACTTTAACCACAGCCCCTTCTCATCCCGGCGCAGAGTGTCCCCCCGAACACCAAGTAGCGCTGTATACCCCCAAGCACCCGTTGACACATAGCCCCCCACCTAACTCCCGCGGCTCCACAACTCTCCTCAAGGTGTCGAACTCAAAATAGCCGCACCAAACCCATCAACTACTCCAAGTCACCCCCGGCAGCTGCAGCAACAGAGTATATAAGCAACACCACAAGTCCTACCATACCCAAAACTTGACATTCACAAAAAATGGCTTACCGATCCGGTACTTGCACAGGACTAACTCCCGTACTCAGACTTCGAACCTATCAGCGAGTGAGCACTCGTGATGCGGTTTCGAATTCCTGCTTTTTCACTTCTTCCAGACGGAATTGGTTTCTGGAGGTTGATGGTATTCGTGTTGTCGTAGTTTTGGGCCCATTGTGCAATTATGGCCCCGGACCAACCGGTTCTCTTTCAAATATACATGCCCAAGGCTGACTTCCGCCTGATTAACATACGGCGAGATGGAAGGAAGAATGAACTGCACATCTTTCCATCCACTACTACTACCAACACCCCATCAACTAACCTAAACAAAACAAAGCAAGAGAAAACAGAGCCGTGCACACAATGGATTACCCAAACCCCCGCATGATACCCCCCGGACAATTTCTCCCCCAATTATACTTGCACAGTTCACAGAAATATCACGACTCGCTACCCCTCCATTACTCCTAATGCTAACTAAAATTCAAGCCTCACCCCAAGCCGGACTCGCTAAATTCCACATACGAGTACTCACGTCCCCGGACCAAGAATCTCCACCTCTTCAGGAATAGCCCCCGTGGACCTATAAAAAGTACAGTGTCGAATCTGCCACCCAGATGCGCACATCCACCTCCACCATGCAGAGAGCACTAAATATCACGGACCTCGATAGCAACACTTTTCGACCCCTGAGACTGAATGACTCTCTATCAGATATTACATGCTGCCTGACTACTACCAAGAAAATTATACTGCACTATATAGTCCTTTATTCAATTCCAACACGGCCCAATTTCCTCCATATCAGCGAATTCAGAAAGGAAGATATCTAATCCCTTGCAAGAGCTGCTGTCATGTGTGATGTGGGTACCCTCGCAGGATACCGGTATCTTGCGCTACCGGCTCAGCCTTTCGATTTCAAACAACTCGAACACAATACCCCTTTTGGGTCTGCGGGCGCCATTCCAAAAGAGGTGTCAATTCTTGGATCGGAGACGGGAGTGAGTACTTGGTCAGGTCGCCAAGTTGATACATTAGTTTCGCTGTCCACGACTTGGCCCCGTAGCGAAAGAGCCCGGATGAGTATTAAATTTATTATTAACTGGTGCTTCGCTACACCTAATACAATTCTAAAGAACCAAGCCCAAAACATTACCGGGGTACTGACCATGCCCACAGTGGGGCTCTCAGGCAGCTCCATGGCCCTTGCTCGCATTTTGTATTGTACAAGTATGATATGATAGCATGTTGTCCATCCGCCCTCAAGGCACGTGATAACTTGGCTGGAGGTTGGAGCTCACTGACGGAAGTCCCCACCTTAGTCTACGTCCCTACGAAACCAAGCCGCCCGACGAACCTCGAGGTAAACTCCAGGGCGAAATATAGTCTTTCTCCACACCAAACACAGGTAAAAACATCGCTCTTCAAAAACATCTTACACCGTTATAAGAGAACTGCAGTTTGTAAGACCACAAGATCAGAGATATCCCGCCGAACCTACTTGCGGTGAGCTCCATATTTATCTCTTTTGCATTACTCGTACATGCAGGGAGACAAAGTGAGGAGGCCGATTTGAGCTCAATGAGAAAAATCCCAAATTACCTGATCGGGATAGAGCACTTTTATGTTCCCGGAATTAGTGATGCTTCTATCCCATCGTACCGGGATTGCCTTCTCGCTAGATAACTTTTTATAGCATTCAGAATTCGCAGTTCCCATTACAAATCGAAGGAGGAAGAAATCGAGCTCCTCTCCGCTATCCCGTGACAGACAGTTTGGCAAGCGTTCATGACGAGTG